TAATTTTTTTATTATTTTCGAATTTTCTATTTTGTTTTGTAATTATTTTCACGAAAATACAATTTTTTAAACTATTTTGTTGAAATTGTTTTTTAAATTATTTTGTTTTAGTTGGTTTTTTAAACCAAATTTTTGAAATTATCTTTTAAATTACAATTTTTTAAACAATTTTTAAATCCAATGTTGTCTTTGTATTTATTTTCCCGAACATTAAGTATTTTTGAATAAACAACCTTTTTATTTTTGAATTCACAGCTTTCGTAAATATTTTTTAAATATATTTTTTTAATGTTTTTAAGCTTTCACAATTCACGTGTTATTCCACAAATGTTTTTGTTTTTGGTAATTCCGAATTCGCACAATTTTTAAAGCGCCATTTAAATTTTATAAATAAATTTTATTCAACTTTTTATTTATTTTGTTTTTTTTAATATTTTCTCTCTAATTTGTTGCTTTCAAATTTGTAACTGTCTTGCGTTATTGTTATTACAGGCAGCTGTTTTCAACTGGAATATCGCGCGCGGCGTCACTTTTACTCAACAACCTTCCTCGGTTGACTGAAGTGTTTCACAAATGATGCAACCGATTTTATATTTTCCACTTATACGACGTGCGCGTCCGCATCCGCTCGCGAGTGTAACCAACTAACCAACTCACTCACTTGCACTTATCGCCGCTGTTGCCGCTGCTAATACTGCTACTACTGCGTCTGCGGCGCTGTAATGACTCTTTGACAAGTCTTCAGCGTCTTCGTTTTGGCCCAATAATGACGAAGATGTCTTCGTAAGCTTACAGCGGCGACTGCACACTGCCGCACTACGCTAGCGCGCAACACAAAAAAGCGCAAACCGCCGAAAAACAAAGCGCACACAGCCCAGCCAGCTATACAACCACCGACCAAGTAACCGAATCACCCGACCGCTAACCACTCGCGCTCAACAAAACCACAGTGACGTCGTTTATGCAATGACGAATGACGTATGCGCGGGGAAGCTCGTCAACTCTGACTGTTGGAAACACGTTCTCAGCACTTTACAAACTCCACGAGCAAATAGTTACGCCCAAAAAATGCTCGGCTACTTTTTTAATTGCTAACGCAGTTACTTGCCTCGCAACGATATCTAGTATACCAATACGTACGAAGCGTTCAACACGTCTTAGAGCCACAATTGGTAAATTGTAACTAAAATCTGAACTGCAATTCGTCGTTGTAATTCCCGCCAACAGCCGAAAAAAGCACATACTCCGAAGAAAGAGCATCAAAGCGAAACGGGAAAGGCGTGCACACAAGTAAATTGTAAAAAGAAATCTTCAGTCCAAAAGAAGTTGCCGAAACTTACATACCGTCACACGAGTCTGTATACACAAATATACCACTCATACGGACTGATCGTAAAACACAGAAGCCACATACATAATTACATATTCCTGTATACGAATATGGCACATAAAACCGAAGGCACAGTTCCCCCTATCCCACGCTGAAACGCGTGTGCTTTTGTAAGCAAATTACTGCATTGCCGTAGCCGCTGCAACTACCTGTGGATCTCCCGTTGCTACTACAAAGGGGGGGAGGGGGTTGCTCTCTCAGTCAGTTACAGTCCGCCACGATCAGCCGCTTCGTGTGGCTGACTATGTACGGCTCACTCTCAGTGTTCCCAAAATCACTTTCGCTCTCATTTATGGAATGCAGTTCGCCTGCTTGCTATTTGTTTGGCTGGTCGTTCGGCTGGCCGCTTGCCATGCCCTCAACAACACTATCAGTGAATTTTTTACTGTTTTCTATTTGTGGATATCACAAAGTACGCATACGTCATAGAGAGCTTTGGAGAGCCAGTAGTATTGGCCAGCTTGTCTCTAGTCAAAGTAATGGGTTCATTTAATTTAATTTTTTTGAAAATCAACCACCAATTATAAAACACAGAACCTCTCAATTTAATGGGAATGTTTATTATTCTTCGAAACAATATTCTTTCGGATTTATTTTTTGAAGATTAAATGATGAACGTCTACATCGCAGATTGTAACTCCCTTGAGTCGAATTTTCGATGACTCGTTTGAGCATTTTGACTGGTAACTGGCGAACGACATGCATGATGTTTTGATCCAAGACCTGCATTGAAGCGGGATTGTCCACATGGACTTTAGACTTTACATATCCCCACAGGAAAAAGTCTAGGTATGATATTACACGATAGCCAATCGACCTGTTCAAAACGTGAAATTATCTGCTCACCAAAGTATTTTTTCGTAAAACCATTGATTTATGTGATGGTGTGAAGTGTCGCCGCCTTGTAGAAACCAAAACACCAAACTGTTGCTCGGTCTCCACGGTCTTATAGAACATTCTCAGATAAGGCAGGTATATTTTCTTCTCTATGTGCTGTGGTCTATTCGGTCGAATATTATAAAATAATGGGTGCTAGGTCTCAAGATGGGCTGCGAAGAGTGCGTCCAGTATGCCGATGCGACGCAAACGAAACACATTCTTTTATCTCTAAAAATTTCAGAAAAAGCGGTCTCAGGTTCTAGAGAGAACGTGGATGGTTTTGAAAACGTCATTTGCGAGAAAAACGTGTTTAAAATTTAAGTTTCAGCCGAACCAGTTTGAATACTGAGTCAGCAAAATACTTACTATAGCTCCCAAAATAGTTTCCATTTTCAAAATTTATTACTTAAACCTTAAATTTGAAAATAGAAAAAAAACGTTTATTTTCGAGAAAAACGCGTTTAAAATTTAAGTTTCAGCCGAACCTGTTTGAATACTGAGTCAGCAAAATACTTACTATAGCTCCCAAAATAGTTTCCATTTTCAAAATTTATTACTTAAACCTTTAATTTGAAAATAGAAAAAAACGTTTATTTTTTATTTCCGAACTAGAATAACTCCCTAAAAGAACTGCTCTTAATAAGTATAACATTCTAAAAGCCCTTATATAAATTGGTTTATCTCTCTCTCTATCTTGATATTTAAATTTTTAGTTTCTCTACTTGGGTTATATTGGGCTCAAGGCTTAAAAATCTCTTCGGACTTCGAAGGCTCAAAAATTTTATGCAGATTACTGATTACATGTCGGTTGGGTAAGAGTTGGAGAACCGAGTTTGCCAATCATTTGAACGGCTTTATTATTTGTATGGGTTTAGCAACTCCTCGAGTTTGAAAAGACTGCATACTGAGCCTGAGATCTGACATGATCTTTTCAAATACATTTTTCTGAAAGGTAAAACCTTCATTTGGCCGCAAGTTGGCAAATCGGACTTGGTCACGAATCTCTGAGTACATACATATTTGTAGAGTAATATTTTAATTTATTATTATTTATTTAAAATATGCAGAGAGTTTCCCACACGTCTCCGTAACATTAGAAACTTTTAATAAATTATTTCCCAAATCAATATTCATGTACTTCCACGATCGAATTGCATAGCATTTTGGCTTTGTTAGAACTAGTTCTGTTTCTACCTCCTTCACTCTCTCACTCTCTCTCTCTTTGTGACGTCATGCAATCGCATTTCCGTAGTTTATTTTTCTGCACTCTCTACTACATTCGTGCTCTAACGGTACTATTGGTACATACTCATATGCATACATGCACGAGCATGTTAGATATATGTATGTATAAGCTCACCAAAACGAGCCCCAAGCTAGCAACAACAACATTGTATATTTGTATTTATGTGTGTGTATACACACAAACACGATCGAGATTCATGCCACTCTCGCTTTCATTTCCGATTCGGAGAAACGCGTTGGCGTTAGTTTCGATTTCGACGCCAACTCAGTTGTCGTGAACGCTGTCGAATGCTCTCTGTTTACGCTTTGTAAGTTGTTTTGATAAGTAGGTGGATGTGGGGTGGAGTGCTATGCTTGGTAGCAGACGTAACTCGTGAGTGCCGTTATCAGCTGATTGTTAAGTGTTGCTCTGCCGCTTTTTGTTATGGCTTTGATTGCAAGTGTGTGAGTTTTTACTATATTTATTCATATCGCGTGAACTGTTTACGTATATACATATGTACATATGTATTTACTAGAAGATAATTATTGTACTAAATTTTTATTTTGAATATTACGAAAAAAGTGACAGAAAATGTCCTTGAATCGTAATCGTACAAAAGCAAAATCTCTCCACTTTATTGGACTCTTCTAGGCATATGCGCAGGGTGTAAATAAAATATATTGCAAGGTATGGAGCGGCATTTCAATGTTTTTGAAAGCCGGAAGTGACCCTGACCCCTAGTAGTG